TGAAAACACTTTCGCTTCATGGATGGTCAGTTTTAATATTTTTTTTTTTTTTTTTTTTTTTGATAAATGATCAACATTTTTTTTCCACCCGCAAACAATGAATAATTTTTTTCCAAAAAATTTGAAAAAACTAAATAAATAAATTGTTCGATTAAAATCATTGCATCAAATACAACATTGACGACTTTTTTTGTTGTTGTTTTTGTTTAAACTAATCTGATCTGATTTAATGATTTTCTTAAATAAAACAAATTGAAAATTTATGTAAAAAACAACACATATAAAATCTATTTGGAAAAAAACCAGATAAAAGCTACATGTGCATCGATGATGATGATAATAATCAAAAATGAGAAAAAAAAATCGAGAACAGGAGATCCAATCAAATCAAATACGTGGAAGAGTATCATTGGTCATCATTAAATGTTTTTTTTCGATTATTTAGTTTATCATTATGGAATAAATGTAATGATAATGATGATGATGATGACGAAGAAAAAGTAGATCAAACTCGACATTTTTTATTCGTATGTCTAAATCATTCAGTCGATTTTGGTAAAAAACGACATGGACACAACGAAAAAAAGAAGACGAAAAATTGCATCCATGTGATTATCTACATCGATACATCTTGGTGAATGGAAGCAACAACAAAAAAACAAGGAGATTAAAACTCATCTCTTTGAATTTCATAATAATCATCGTCATCATCCACATCACCACCTGGTATTATCATGTGGATTAGCCATGAACGAGATACTGTGTTATATACGCATATACAAAACATATATATACATGCTTATTATATATGTACAATCCAATCGATTCAATTGGATTGAATTGAAAATGATGATGAATAAATTGATGAATATCTTCGACTACCATAGACAACAAGGAAAAAAAACTATCGAGATTGATACATCCACCGATTATGATGACGATGATGATGATGATGATGTGGACAACAACGATCAGTAAAGGTTTTCAACACACAACATAAGAAATCTAGATAGATGAATGAAAATATAAGAAAATTTTTTTCTTTTTTAATTTTTTTTTATTTAAGCTTGTTTAATCAAAGCTCATAATAATCATCCATTATTGGCGTTCATCTTGTAGCCATCATTATCATCAACCATCATATAATCATCAAGTGTTTGAAGATCGATTACTACCTGACGGGATTTCTATGAAATTCACTCTGTATATCAGTGATGGAGGAAAATATATTTCGATAATATAAAGTGGCTACTGCCGACTGAAGAAAAACAAAAACAAAAACAAACAAAATAAAATGAAAATCGAATGATTTTCGATGAAAAAAAAATCAAATTAACTAACTAACTTACTTCTATTCAAACACTATCAAATTTGAATGAATAAAGATCATCAACTAAAAATGATGATGATGATGATGAAATGAGACGAACACGAATCAAATTTAATCGATATGATCAACAAGTGAAAAAAAAGTAGAGCAAAATGGTTGAATATTGATCAATCGAAGATGATTATGATTATGATTATGATGATTAAATAATGGTCAAATAATTTAAGGATATAAGGATTAAAATATGAAATTCAAATTTGTTTTTTTTTTCTTCCTTGATTTTTGTTTGATTTTTTTTGCGTCTATGTGTATAATAGATCAAAAAATAGTGTGAGGAAATGAAAAAAAAAACACAAACATTTTCAGATTATTTTATATCAGATTACAACAAATTGGATTGAAAAATTTTTCAATGTTCAAAAAAAAATTAAGATTTGAAAGGTAAGAAAAAAGTTTTTTTTGCTATTGGCCTGTCAATGATTTGAATCATCGATTATTTGAAACATTGAAAATTTGACAATAATAAGGATTTTAAATAAAGAAAAATTTCCGGCCATAAACTTTTAGAAGAACAAGAAAAAAAACAGGATAGCCAACCACAAACAACGAATGAACAAAAAATATAAAAATCAAAAAAACAATAGAAATTGAATGAAGATGAATATGAAAAACACACCTATTTGTTTGTCTTAAAATGAGGAATTATCTTTATTCATTTCAGTTTCAAAAGAAAAAAATAACAACAGTTATAAATCTTAATTGAATTCAATGGCTAAACATCGACAACAACAACAACAACAACAAAAGAGAAGCTGAAAAAAGGGATGCACATCTCAATCATAATAAATAAATCTCATAAACAACAATCATTATGATGATGATGATGGTAAATAGCATCGAGAGTAGGAAAAAAGTGAAAAAATATGCAAATAATAATTAAAATTGGGCTAAATTTGTTGTAATTTTCTTCGTTCAATGTATATTTTTCTATAGTAAATAAAGTCTAAAATTGAACTGGAAAAAAATTCATTGGAATTCAATTGAATTCTATTGTTTGTTTAATTGCCACACACACATAAACGCCAACATTATCGTTTCAGGTAGCAAAAAATGTTTCTTCCATGTTTACTTTTGTTGTGATGATAACTATGATGATGATTATGATTAAACCTTTTTGGAAATTTTTCGGATACCATTTTCAGTAGTCCAAAATCATAACGGGGAAAAAAAAGAACAATCAATCTTCATGAAAAAACATAATAAAATAAGTGTGTAACGTATGTATAACTTTTTTTTTGTGAAAAAAGCAATGATTAAACTCATCATCATCATCATCATGATCCAAATAAATCGTGATGATGGAAACTATGACCATTTCTATCATCATCATCATCATCACTATCGACTAACAATTCAGTGAAAAAAAATGATGTGCAATCACTTGAATATCTCCTTGCCCTTGTTATTTAAATGATGATTATGATGATGATGATGATGAGCCACAAGCCTAGAAAAAGAAAATGACCACACACAGTTTTTTTTTTGATTTCCTGTCCAAAAATGAATCATTTTTTTCCAAAAACAAAACAAAATAATTATTCAATTAATCAATGATGATTATGATGACACATTATTTGATCAATGGATCATACAGCAATCAAAACATTTACCATAATGATCATCATCATAATAACGCGATAAACAAGGTGTGAAAATTTCTCTTTTACGTTTAATCACGCAACAGTTTTTAAAACTGTTTTTTTTCGTTTAGCTTTATGTGAATTTTTTTTTTTGAAAGATTCAAAATTTATTTTTTCCAAATAACAAAATGATGGAATTAAATCAACTATCATCATCATCATCATCATCATCATGGGGAAAAAATGTATGAATAGAAATGTTAGTCGTAAAATTTTCAAGTTTTTTTTTCATTTCCATCCCAAGTTTACTACTTGTTGCTGCTTCATTTTTTGTTTTGTTTTTTGTTCTTCTTTTTGTGAATGTATTTTTTTCAAGATCATTACGACCGCAATGAAACGGACATGTTTCTGTTAAAAGATTTTATTATCAGTGAAAAACACAAATAGAATGACATTGAAAAAAACAAAACTAATAATGAATGGTAATCCTTTTTTAAAAAAAAAAATTTCTAAATTTAAAAGGCGTTGTTTTTTTGTGATTAATTAATAATTAACAGCGACACCTATAGGAGAAAAAAACAAAAATTTTGTCAATAATGATTATGATCATCATCAATGATAATAAGAAAATGTTGGAGAAAAAAAAGTGATGATCATCAGGATGTTGAATGATCATTAATTTTTTTTTTTTTGGAACGATTCATTTTTTTCTGTATGTGTGAATGAATTTGAAAATAACCGGCCATTATCATGATGATGATGATGATCATCATCATCATCATTATCATCAAAGTTGTTGCTGTTGTTTTAAATAATATTGATCAATCGGCCAAATGGACAATAACATCAATAATGGATCCAGTGTATTTGATAAATGAACATCAATCCGCCCTTTTTATGTTGAACACAAGCGGTCATCATCATCATCATCATCATCAAACATGGATCATCTTGTTCTCCACCCATATAAAAACAAAAAAACTTTCATAATCATCGTCTTGTTGTTTGTCAGTAGTTGAATGAATAGAAAAAAAAAGATGAGACAGTTCATAACATAAAATTGGAATTAACGACAATGAATTTCAAATGAAAAATTTTAAATAATTTAAATAGATCAATCAAAAAGGTGAATTTCAATATATTTGAAACAGCTATACATAAGATTTTGTTTTCAACGAAATGGAGGCGGTAAATGAAAAGCTAATATATGAAGAATTTTTTCATAGTAAAATTCAATGAAATCAAAAGATAGTGAAAATAAAAATCGATCAATCTATGAAATCTATCCATTTCTATCGATCCACTTTCAACATCATCAACATTTCTAAATAATTATAACAATAATAATAATAATAACCATCATCTTCGATCTTCGATACTGATTAGTTCGGTTACTTCAGTAGTCGTCGTCGTCGTCAATATTATCATTATGATTATTATTATTATTATTATTACAATCATCATCATTCAACTAAAAGAAATGGAAATTATATTTTTTTGAAACTAACAACATAACATTATAGAAATATATCGATGAAGAGAAATGAGATTGTATTTAGAGAGAAATTGATGTTCTTGTTGATGATGATGATGATGATGATGATGCTGATGATGAGAGGGAAGACGCCCGAATACGACAATCTTATATATCTCTATGATGATGATGATGATGCTGATTATGACGATATATAAGAAAATCAAGCAAACTTATATAATATATGCCAACGCCCAGAAAACTAGAGCATCAACCGAAAAAAAAAACAAAAACAAAAAAAAACATCGTAATCAACAAACACGCGATTTTTTTTCCTTCTTCTTCTTCTTTAGATTGACTCTTGGACCATGATGATTATGATGATGATGACGATTGACGAAACATCTCTTCACTATCGTGTGAATTGAATTGAATTCAAATATTCGGATCGGGTCGAAAGGGAAAAAAATGACAGCAAAAAAACATTCAAAAGACATTGATAAAGATGGACATGTATAAAATGGATCAATAATGGATCTATATTATTATATAATGATAATGATAATCCACAAGTGTTTGGTTTATCAATATTTTGATGATAATGATGATAGTAATATGGATCATATATAATGATGGACAATTGTATCGTTGAATATTTTTTTTTCCGAAATATGATCAAACAACAACATGTTGATGGATCAAATAGAAATAACAATATTAAAAACAACAACAAACGATTGAATGATGGTAATGTCAATCAGATGATATTCGCAAACAAAAAAAAAGAAAGAACAATTGACCAAAAATGATTGTAAGATTCAATTCAAATCAATCTCAAAATGAAAGAGAATAAAAAATTCAATAATAACAATCGATCTTTGAATGAAAACCTAATTAGATTTGAAAAGAAAATTTTTGTAGTGATGATGTTTGTTTGATACGATAATAATAATAATAATGTCAATAATTAGATAGATCAAACTTGAATACAAAAATATTTACTTTTCCATGAATATGAAATCATCTTTAACTGGAAATATTGAATTAACAAATAGATATTCAAATTGGTTTGATATATAAGAAACAAAAAAGGTTTAGACTAGACAAAACAAACCAGCTTAGCTGAAAAATATATTGAAAAAAAACTACTTGTTTTTCGATCTGATATGAGTTTGATCCAAATAGTATAATCATTCAATTACTTATCATCATCATCGTTATCGAAATAAATGAAAAAAAATTGGATCAAAGAAAATGATGATAACGAAAAATTCAATTCTTCAATGATGATGACCCATGTAGACATTTTTTTTTGTTGTTTCATCATCATCATTTGAGATTTGAATTCAAATTCAATCGGGAAATAATTGTCCCGTTCAATTAAAGTTGATTAGATTTTGAGAAAAAAAAATCCGAGATAAAACCGATGCCGATGTACTATGTTTTTCCTTTATCATATATGATGAGAATCAACGGATTATGACAAGAAGAAAACAAAAAATCATTCAGGTAGGAAGATTTATAAATAGGCAAAATAGACAACCACTTTCAAAATCGTCATATGATATCGGTAATAATATTGTTGACCATAAATGGTTACGATGTTTTTTTTTGCAAAATTGAATCAACAACAAAAACAGTGAAGATTTGAAAATCGATGAAATAAGTGTAAAGCCAAAAATCATATATGATAATTGAAAAATTTACATAACATTTAAAAAAAAATTTAACAAAAAGTTTCAGAAATTTTGGATTTTTTTTTTCTTTGGACATCTAAAATGACAATCATAAAGAATGTGATCCAATTAAACTTTGCAAAAAATCAATCAATATATTTTGGAAAACAGTTATTTTCATTCAAATAGAATCAATTGAACATCTTTTTTTTTGTTTTGTTTTGGTTGACCAAATTTGTCCAAACGAAAACAAGATTCTCCTACTCGAATTTATAATTTAAAAAAAATTATTACACAACATTTAATTTCGTATATGATAATCATTAATAATAATAATAACTAAATCTATTTTGTATATACTTGTTATTGTAATTTTGTCATAAATCAAAATATATTATGATCGACAAAAAAAAAAATTTTAATCGATCCAATTTTTTTTTGATCGACAAAAAGGAAGACAACACATTTGGTCAATTCAAATTAGATAGGAAAAAATGTGTAACATCCTGATGAAATGAACAGCTTTAGGCAATTTCATTTTGGAAACATACAAAAATCTGAAACCATCATCATTGGGGGAAAAAAAATTTTTTAATTTATTTGTTCACTCTCGTTTAAAAATACAACAAACGGTATAAATTAGACAAAGTGAACGAAAGGGGAAAATTTAAAAAATTCAACATACTTGTCCACAAAACAATAACAAGATGGCGTTAGCATCGCGGGATTTGATTTTTTCTTCCGCAGAATTCTTATAATGATAAGAAGAATCATTATCGACCAAAATAGTTGATCGTTTTTTATTTGATTGAATATTATTGCCATTATCTGAATCATCATCATTATCGGCAAGTTGTTGTTCAGCTTCGGTTAAATTTTGATTTAAATGTCGAATTGCAGCAATCCAATTATAAACTTGTGGATCTTTTAATTCTACCCATGCAGAAAATGTTCCCGAACGATCTGTTACCTGAATTTGTAAAAAATTAAAAAAAAAAGATTTTAAAAAATTTGAATAAAAAAATTAAATTGTGAACGATTGCGACATCTGTTGACGAATAGTTGAGATATCTGTTCGAAAAAAAACTAATCAAATGGAAATGTTTCAAATGCTTTTGAAAACCGCAACAAAAAAATAAAATAATAATAAAAATATAAACTAATTCATTTTTCATGTAATATACCGACACGCGCCAGGATATCAGAAAAAAAGAAAATTGACACCTACACACATGCATACCAAGAAAATAGTTACCATATTTCTTCAAAACAACAATTCATATCAGGAATCCAAAATAAAATCAATGAAAATGTAATTGAAAGTTTCAATCGAACATGTCACACATAGGACACACGTGTGACATTGTCAATGTTTATGAATTTTATTTGATTTGATTCGTTGTAGGTGGCCGATTCAAAAAAAATATGATAACCCGAAAGTTACATTTTTTGTTTTTATTTGAAACGAACAAGAATCTTTCATTAGAAAGGGGTGATCTTTATAATATCAAAATAATCAAGATAAATTATCGACAATTATTCTTTTTTCAGGAAAAAAAAATGATTCATGCTAATTAATTAATCCCTAATAATTAATTATCGTAAACTTGGCCGGAATGACCTCGACGACCTTACTTTGAACTTTTTGTTCGGACATATCTTTTCCAGGTCATAAATCATGAAAAAGCTGTTGTTTCAGCAACCCGGCATTGTGGGTATATTATATTAGAATTAACCCGTTAGTATAATCATAACACAATAACGTAAACAAAACAAAAAAGTAAACATTCGTTTCTTATTATATTTGGATCGATATTTAATATTGAAAGTCTCGAATTCTGTTCTTCGAAAACTTTTTGCTTCTCAAACCAACAAAAAAAAAAAAAAAAAAAATGATAAATTATTCTATCTGCCAAGTCTAGATTTCAGGATTTTTTTTTTGCTAGAAAACATGCATCATAATGAAATATTTCGGATGGAATCGATCGAAAATTGGCTAAAACTTTTTCATGCCTACTCTTATTTCAATTTAAATCTGATTGAATGAGAAATAAGAAAATTGAAAGATTCAATTTTGATCATTGAGAAATGAAAGAAAAAAAAAGACATTCACCGCTAGAATTAATAACGGTGACGAATATTGTTCCGCATTACAACCGGATAATGATAATTTGGATAAAAAAAAGAGAGAGAGATCAAGACACACGTGTTGGTGTGTATCGAGGCGTGTAGCAATTTGATTCGCGGGTTTCATGGTTCGTATGACGACGACAACGATACTTTACGATGTATGCCATCAAACAAAAAAAAACTAATTCTATGGGCACGAACAACACACATCACTTGTATGATGTGATGTATGATGACAACAACATACACACAAGTCGTCTAATATTCAATTCTATTATCAATATAAAAAAAACACACACACAAAAAAAAAACATCTCTTTGAACGTATAATATCCAATATTGAAAAAAAATGTTTTTTTTTCAAAACGACAACGTTATATTGTTGTATCGTTGTTAAATTATCTGTAAATAATGGATTGAACATGTTATATCATCATATTATTAATATTAGTATTATATCTTCACTGACAGCCTGTGTGGCCTTTTTTTTGGGATTCACACACACACGGATATTTGAAAAAGTTCTTTCGTTTTGCTATTAAACACAAATATCTTTAAACAATGTCCACATTGGCTACGGAATTGGTTGAAGCTAGATTGATGTAAAAAATGGCATCGCTATAGTAGAGTAATATCATTTGACATTGGTATATCTAATCGAAAACATAGGCAAAACCAATATAGACATATGTTGTATCCATTAAAAAAAATTATGATTCTTTAGTTTCTTCTCCTGTGTTATTTTTTTTTCTTTGCAACCATCATCATCATCATCATCATCATGGATCCATTTGATCCTCCTGTTACATCCATTAGAGATCCATTATGAATGATGTTAACTTTTGAGTATGAAACTAGTAAAAGTAACTAACTCTTGTATATCTTACCATATCACTGATATTTGATTTCAATTTTTCTATATCCCAACCAACCAATAAAATGAGAACATCAATAGCAGATGATAAAATCATTAAAAATTATATAACATAATCTAAATTATTCTTTCTTTCTTTCTTTTTCATTTTAAACACAACTGTCACACTGTGTTCATATTTATTTGTGGTGATTGATCTTTTTTTCCCTTTCTTTTCCTGTTCATGTTTCCTGAATTCCGGTGACAAAAATAAGAAAGCAAAAATTCGAATTGAATTGAATATTTTCATTGATTGAATTTTCTTCAATCAGAAAAAAATTTATCACCAAGGTGATTCGTACCACAAAAAAAAAAATACAAATATTTCTTGTGTGGGTGTAACATGTTACAACACACACACACGTGTGCATGCAGGTACATGTTCGTGTGAATTTTTTTTTCTTCTTATCTCCAACACATTATCCCTAACAATCAAAAAAAAAAAAGTATTCAAATTTCGTCATGACATTAATTGCTATTTTGAGTGATGAAATCCAACATCACACCTCTCGTTTTTTTTTCCATTCCAGCAAATAAAATAGAAAAAACAATAACCTAAAAAAAACAGGCAAATATCAAATCAAATCATATAAAACAAAACAACAACAAAAAAAATCTGCGACGCATTAACACCATCCAAGCAATCATTTTTTTCTCTGTCATATTTCTATGTTGTTTTCGATCACAGTTTTATTATTATTTGTTGGGTTCTGATATTCTGGCATCATCATCATCATTGTTATTATTATGGATTGACGCCTGGAAACCATCAACATCAACATAATCATCGTCATCGTCATGATTGCTGCTTGATGATGACAGTCTTTGATGTTTGTACATACACGTATACATATGGTGATATTTTTTTGGTAAAATGAACAAGAAAATCCTCTTGGAACCTATCGCTATATATGCGTGTGTGTATGTATCATTGATACAAAGAAAGATTCACACCGATAAATTCGGCGCAATCGATAAAGCGCAGCTCTATAATAAAAGACGCCTGGAATCGAAATTGAAACATTTTACCATTCATATTCTGTTGTTTGAATTGGGGAGAAAAACGAAATTCTCAAAGATTTGCTGCTGCTGCTGCCCACAAAGATAGTTTTACTTATCTATCATTTTATTCAATAACTTTGTATCGAGACAACAACAACAACAACCAAAGCCAAAAACAAATCAAGGGAGAAAAAAGATTTATGTATTTTTTGATTTTCATTTTTTTTTTGGTTTCTGTTTCGATTTATTTGGAGCCAAGCAATCGAACATTGATAAATGTATCAAAAATCCCTCGAAGAAGAAGATGGAAAAAAAACAGAATTATCGATGCATGCATGCATGTTTATGTGGTATCCAAAAAAAGATCAACCAACAAAAAGAAAAAAAATGAATTCAAGCAGGATGTACGGATTTTTTTTTCTTTTCTCGTGGTTGAATCTCAAAAACAAAACAAAAAAAATGTTTTTTACCCAAAACTTAGAAATGAAAACCAGAAAAAACATATTTTATTGCATACTCACTTATAGAATAAAAAATAGATTGAAAAAAAAGAAATATGAAAACATGTCTTTGACATCTTTGTTGTAATGATGTTGGAATGGCCAATTAAAATCCTATTGAATCCATCTGTTGTGTGTGTGTGTGTGTCTTTGACATAACCGATCAACTAAATCAACAACATCGACAAAATAAAAAAAATAGTCAATACCAGAATCTATCTATCTGTCTGTCTATTTATCTTCTTATCGACGATGATCTTTTTGAATCAATTTTCAATGACACCTAATTTATTTTCAAATGATTATTCTTATTTAATGTGATTATGCTTTTTTTTCTTTCGCTCTCCAATATATTATTTTTGACCTTTTTTTTCGAGGATCAAAAATCAAAATCTTCAAACAAACAAACAAAAAAAATATGTGTGTTTATGTGGATATGTAATTGCGCTCGCCTTGAAATAAATGAATTTGCTAAATTTTTTTTACTGGTTACTACGGCTATAACCATCATCATCATCATCATCATCATTGACATTAGTTGTGCAATAACGGTGCTTGTGTAGCATACGATACCCCTGAACAAAAACAAAAAAAAACAGGCAATTGATACAAGCTGACGCCAGAACCAGAAATAGGAAGCAAATATTTATATATATGAAAAAAAAATATGAATGATATTTATGGTGACTCAATTTGATATATAAATTGAACAAAGAAAATGTATATGAAAAAAACGAAAAAAAAAAAATTTATCTCGAGCAATCAAACTAAATCCGAATACTGAACAAACACACCGATCAAGAATTGTGGACCAGCTGAAATATATAGAAAAAAGAAAATGATAATCAAAAATATTTTGTTGCAAAACGATAGTGGTGGTCCAAATTCAACAACAACAACAACAAAACTATCATTCACATTTACATGTATGATTGTTTTCTTGATTCGTTTTTTTTTCAAAAAAAAAAAAAAAAACAATTTAAATTGCTTCCGAATGTTTGATGGCCATTATATTTTATATAATGTGTGTGTGTTTGTTTGTTTAAATCCATTGTATCATTATTATTTTCTTCAATCAAATATAAAACTGTTTGCCACTGTGTGTGTTGTTGTAATGATTCTGATTCTGATTGAATTGATATTCTAAAAAAAAATTTTAGGTAATCATAGGATAATAGTCATTTATAGATTTCTTTCTTAAATAAGAATACTACCAATCACACATGGACCACTAATAACTCAATCATCATCATCATCATATGGTCTCTGAATATACCGAAGTAAAAAGAGAAAGAAAAAAATGTCCATCTGGTGGACTTTCATTGATGATGATGATGATGATCGAAGCTCATCGATCTTATTTTCAGAAAAAACTGAACGTATTTCTACATTAAGATTCGATTTCCTAGATTTTTTTTTGTTGTTTCCAAAAAAAAATTGTCCGAACAAACAAAATCAATTATCCAATCGACTAAAAAAAAATCTTATTCGTATTGAATCACCCGCTGCTGCTGTTGTTGTTGCTGTTTCTAACCGTATTGCCTGTCTGATACACTTGTGTCCAAGCAAAACAAATATACAAATATCAAAAATTTTTGACTAAAAGAAAATAGATGATCATTGATGATTCGTCGTTGTTTGTTGTTGTCGTAATCGAATCTTTGGTTCAATGAATTATACCTTCTCCGAGTTGGGAAACGGTATGGATGATTTTTTTTGGTTGACCAGAAAAAAATATCAAAAACTTCATAATTTCACTTCATTTGTTCGTATTATTTGTGAATGAACTTTTTCTGAACTTGTTCTATTGAAACACTTACCTTAAAACATTGATCTGCATTCGATAAATGTTGACGACTTTTACCAATTTTAGCTGTATATGGTCCAAATGTTGTTGAACGTTGAATATCGATAGATGTTGCAATATAAAAATTTTTCAAAATAGTATTGCTCATCATCATCATCATTGATTCATTATCATTTGATGTTGATTTATTATTATAATAAACTTTTAATTTGTCAGGTAAATTTGGAAAATGTTTTGCATAAATTTGTTCAAAAAATGTTGAAGTATTTATATCGAAATTTGTTGATTTATCCATAAATTTTTGATGATTATTCAACAATGGATTGATTGTTGGTGATAGTTTATTAATTTGAGCATACTGTTCAGAATAAACATCCGAATGTGTTGGTAATGAATGAATATAATGCTGATGATGAGGATGAAGAAGAGAAGATAAATATGATGCCATTGTATTAGCTGAAATAGTTGGCGATATTGGTAAATGATTATTATCAGTAACAAGATTCCCTGGAGCCATCGATGAATGTTTATGATTTTGATCATTGATTTTTATCGATCGATTTCTTTTTTCAATATTCGATTGTTTTGTATTTGTTGATTTTGGCTGCCGTAACGATGATGGTGTTAACAAATCTGTAATCATTTTTGTGAATTTTTAGATTTGAATCGTTTTGAAAAATTTCCTAGTAAACGAAAATATCTTGATACACCATCCTAATGATCAAAACAAAAAAAAATAGAACACAAAAAAAAATAAAATAAAAAAATACAGTGTTATCACAAGTTGAATAATATTTTTTTTTTACACTATCTCATTTCACATCACAAAATTACAACGGAAGTTTTACATTGTCGTTGGGAATACGCCCGAAAAGAAAACATTGATCACATCAACGAGAAAACACACTCATCAAAGTAAATATTATCGATTTGAATATGGTGACAATCATTACCATCATTATTATTTTGTTTTATGATCATCAAATAATCTCTATGGTTATATGTGGAAAAACAATAACACCAAAAACAAAAATGATCACTTTAATCAATGTCAATTTCGTTTATGTTTATTGTGGTAGAAAAAAAACCCTGAAAATAAAAATAAAAAAGTTTTCAAAAATCTTAACCCTTGAAAACTTGGAAACAATTTAAGCTGGAAAAAAAAGATCTTCAATCACGATAAGTGTGTCGATGATGATAAACAAGAATCCGGTTTCCTGTGTCAAAAAAGGCTCTTCTCTAAATGATGATGACAATTTTTTTTCTCCATTTTTTTTACTTCATTCTACAATAGCCATCTAAATTTCGACGATGAACAAAACGAAGATCCTTGTTTGTACATGTCGAATATTTTTTTGTGTGAGATATTGGCTGGGCTTGTAAATATCAAAAGATCCTTTTTTCGCCATCTTAATTGGCCATTTCGAACGGAAATGATTTTTTTTGTTTTTTTCAATAATTTAAAAAGAAAACAAAACAAAAAATTTGTCTTTTCAGCCAGAAAATATGTTTTGAAAATTGAATCAACCAAAACAATGGTGGCAATTTGAGGTTTTTCTTGCAATTTTTAAGAATTTTTTCTGTTTAACACTTACACAAAATTACCGTTAATTAAATAATGATTGTCCTAGTTTTATTTTTTACCGTTTTTTTTCTGATCATCCCTTTTGTTTATGGTATGAAAAAAATACCTCAACACCTCAAAAGTCAACAAAGTAAGTTTCACAGATTTCGGTTGACCGGATAATAAAAAAATATATTATTGTTATATAATTGAAACTTTGTGAAAAAAGATGAATGAAAATCAAGATAGCCAATATTACGAATCCCGAAAAAAAAAAATGTTTACCGGATTCAATTTAATGGATTCTCTCTTTTTTTAGGGATTTCAATTTTCGATTTTTTTTCTTCTAGTTGTTAAATGCGCACGCCCAATCTATTAATATTATCATTATTATCAAATCCAATGAATGGTCTAACAATAAATACTAGTTTTTTTTTCATTTGTTTGTTCCAATAGTCCGAATTCCGAGCAAAGAGTCATTAATTTGACGTTTGGTTAGCTTCGGCTTTATTTAAGTGTTAGATTCGAAACGATCAAAAATGGTTGAAAAATAAAAAGATTTTTTTTTTTTTGCTTCCAAAACAACAACATCAAAAACGATGGGCGATGAAAATGATTGCACGCTCATTAACAACGTTTTACACATTACTGGACCTTTGGAGCACACGTCGATCATCATCATCATCATCATCCATAATGAACCAAAGAATAAAATAAAATTCAAAGATCATCTAAATAGCCAATCTAATACAATTGTTTTGCTGTTAGTTAGTCTATTGTTGAAAATTGATGAACTCTTCCTTAATAGTCATTTATATTTTCTGTTCATAAACCTAATAGACTATATTAACAACAAAATACCAAAATGGACATATAAAATAAATAAACTTGCAGTCAGAAAAATAAAAATATAATCAAAGATAAAGATGTTTCCATTAAGAAACGAAATCAAATATTTTTAGCTTTGGACAATGATACGCACACACATACACATTTGCTAACCAACGTTTGTTACTATGGTCATGGTTGATACAGGATTTTATCAACGATACTTAATCTAATACGAATGCTGTTGTTGTTGTTTACTTGACATTTAGTGAAATTTTTTATTTCAATTTTTCTTTCCTTTTTTTTCAAAAAAAAAATGACAAAATTCTGGGTGTTGAAAATGTTCAACAACAAAAAAAAAGCAAACGGAAAATTCATTTTCGATAATATCAATGAAAATAATCAAAATTTGAAAACTAAACAAAACAAAAAACAAAATGTGCTGAACTCATCAACACTCCAGACACACACACACACACCAACTTTTGATCAAAATGAATGTATCGATTTAATGAAATTGATTTTTTTTTTTGTTCCACAATAAAAGAATTGCAACACAGAATACAGAAACACACTGGACTTTCGATACTTTATTATTATTATTATTAAATTGCTAAAATGAATCTTGAATAGCCTATGAGCCGTTTGTTAAATCACTGGTAATCGACATGATTGGTATTTACGTTGATGTTGATGTTGTTTTTTTGCTTTTAATATAATTTTTTTTGATTCAAACACTGTTGATTGCCAACATTCAAATTGTAACCCGATCGGCTAAAGAATAAGCTCCGCCTATTAGATATGTATGAATCCTTGATGGATTTTTTTTCCATAATATTCAGAAATGATGAAAAAGAAAACAATAATCTCCACCCATTTACCATTCTTCATTCGAGAAAAAATCAACATTTCCAAAAAAAAATCAATCAAATTAAATTACAAAACACCAACAGAAAACAAACAAACATATCGATTGGATATTGAGTAATAATTTAACTTTTAAGATAAAATACATAAAGTATGAATTTCGAATATATTGAAATTATGAACATAGGTTACCGTAAGGTCAAGTAGTATTTTTGTTTTGTTTTTCGATGGATGTTCAAATATATTGATTTTGAATAGTTCAAAGTTAAAGTTGGTTATTTATTTATTATTTTTTGGGGGAAGTTGGATAAATCAATAAAAAATAGATTCTGTAATATGAATGTAAACATTGAATGGAATTCAACACATTAATTTCTTTTTTTTGAAACAAAATGATATTGCAATGAAATGAATTAAATTGAACAAGACACAAGCAAACACACACACACACACACATAAAGATACACAATCAGGTAAATATATCAGGAATCATTAATGATAAATGAGCAGATGGTTGAATAAATCAGCACACAAACATCACACACCAGACACAAACACATTCACATTTGGAACAATGATAACAATTTCGAAAATGGAAAAAAATATGATGCAATCGAAATGAAAAAGAAAATAGTGATCAACAATGTTTTGGGAAAAAAACTGGAATGGTATATGATACTTATAACCAAATACTCCGAATGACAATAACCAAAAACCAAAACCCAAAAAAAAAAGATGGAAAAAAAATCTTGAGATTTTTTTTTTTTGGGTGAATCAGTTTTGTTGGTTGGTTGAATCAGTAGAGATAGAGGTGGAGCGTCTTTTTGTGTGACTGACTATCATACAATGAATATAACTGACAAAAGCAAAGAGGAGACATACACAGATTCTCACAATACATTGAAAATACTTATATTTTGTTCATGTATATCACAGAGAGGGAGAGAGTGTCAGAGAGAGAGAGAGAGAGAGAGAGAGAGAGAGAGATAAATAGAAAAAAGAAATAGAAAGACAGACAGACAAACACATAGATATTGATGATATGTGTTGTGTGTGTGTGCGGATGAGCCAACCGAAATACGCATAATATACAATAAAGCACGGTTTGCTTACGCATAAAAGGTGGAGCTTCAATCATCATCATCATCATCATCCAAATAGCCATACTTATTTTATTTATATGATGATGATGTTGAAGAAGCGTTCAAATGATGAATCCATAGAAAAGAATTGATGATCCAACAAAAAAAAATAGAATTGATATACATTGAAAGAAAGGGAATATAAATGATAGGTGACAATAAGGGAAAGGAACAGAATTTTTGAAAAAATGATGATGATGAGAATTAAATGCGCATGGCGCATCTCTTTTATCATATAGCTTTTTTTCCAATGTTTCTTACATATGAATGGAAAGGATTCTATCATATCTGTTTGTTTGTTCCATTTACGTAATTCAATAACCAAAAAATGTATCATCCTTCTTTTTTTTCGGTTTTTTTCGTCGGATGAACAATGATGATACTGAAAACCATTCTGATGACGATTGGTTGTTTTCAGATGTATACTGGGCGGTACTGATTTTTGTTTTTTGTTTCCAATTTTGACTATCCTGGGTATCTGTTGTATTAGACATGTGTGTAAATGTGGATGCGCGTTACCATCTTCGTTTTACTCAACAAAATATTTTGATTCAAAAAAAATGTTAGAAAAGAAAAGAAATATCAAAATCCATGTATCTGATCTGTATGCTACACATTCATGGCCTTCTTTTTTGTCTCAAGTAAAAAAAATAATAATACATGACCGTCTCTATGGATGCTAACAACAACAAAAAACAACGATAACATGAAAATGCCAAAGTAACAAAAGAAAAAACCTTTTTAACAATTCTATGAAACAATCATCATCATCATCCAGAAAATCACCCACGCACACACACACATCATTTTAAATGGAATCAGAAAAAAATAGCGAATGAATCCATACAAGAAAACTTTCAAAAAAAAAGTTCTTTTCTTTTCTAAAGGTCGACAGATATTTTTTAGATAAGTACAATTGAGCATCGAGCCCCATTAAGAAGTAGAAAAAAATTTATATATTTTATTAAAAGAAATGCATAAAGATTTCAATCTGGATGCAACCGAGCAAACCAATGTGAAATAAAATAAAATAAAAATGAACAGCCATTGAAAAAAAGGTGATCTCCAACTGAATGAAGGCTGCAAAATTTGGATCATACACTACATTGCACATATACATAAACATAAACAGTAAAAAACAAGAACATAGCAGCCATATAATATTAAACAATAACGAAACAAAACAAAACAAAAAAACTTTGTCTAATGACATTAAGCCGGATATTGTACGCAGATCATTATCATCAATAGATGTGTGCACCAAAGAAAAAAAAGTACATCTACTGATGATTTTACCAT